TACTAATGTGGTCTGAGGGACTTAAAGGAAGGTTTTTGCCCATTGCCCTCCAAGGTAGACCAAGTTCCAGGGGAATATGGAACATGTCTGAAAATGTCCTGCAACTGTGGTGAGACACCTGTCCTCTTGTTCAGGGAGGCCATGGAGACCCCATGAGATGGACTTGAACCTGTGTCCAGTCTACGAAGAGGAGGGTCAACACATAGGAAACATCTCATTCATGCTTCCAAGTGAAGCCAGACATGGTCAAGCAGGACCTTTGACTTATCTTCACATAGATGGAACTGGTAGAAAAAGGAGCCAGGAACTCTTCCCAAGCCCATGTGACCCCTGAAGAACAGATCCTCAAACGACCTTAAATGTAATAATAAATTGATTTATTTGGGCCAACTCTATGGTCTTAAACATCCAAAAGGAAAGTATAATCAAAGACAAAATTCATCAGTATATTTCTTTAAGAATTCAAGGGATTAAACTTCCCAGACATTAGGCTTAAGTCTATATAAAAAGTTCTTTAGCATCTTTTCTCATTGATGATTTTGTTCCTTACCAGAAAGTGCTGCTCAGATGTAAGAGTTCAAATCCTGGTCTCCAATACAGTAGTGCCTACCTGCAGCTAAGGGAGACAAGCAGCTGTTATTCAAAAATGGTGGATACATTTGTTTTCTCCCCCTATCTTGAAGCCTTTTAGAGGGAACTGACACTGATTCTAACCACTCCAACAGCTATCAAAATACCTGAAAGAAAATCCTGAATCCGTCACTCTAGAGTCCAGCCTTGGAAGAAAAAAGAAAAATGAAGAGGAACCCAATAAAGGGATGCTTTTGGAAGTCCTGGTCAAGAAATCAAATGGATGCTCCAATGCACATTTGAAAATTGCCTTGTTCTGACTTTTTCTAGTTCTTTGTCTAGAACTAGTAATGCTAATTACTCTTGCCTTTACTTCTCCTTCACATCTCCTATTCACAATTCAAAGACTTTCTTTTCCACCTCGCCATAAGACTTATGCAACTTGGGAGTCTTTTAGATAGACCCACTGAAGGGGTACTCCAGTTACCTCACCCTGTTCAGCATGGAAGAGGCCAGAGTGGTCTGTGTCCCAATTCCTTATTGACAATTTGAGTAACCTCTTCAGAAGATGGTGTGATAAGAATAGGAGGTAGGAATTTGCTAGGCAGTTATTATAAAAAGACCCCAAAGAAAAGTTGCCAGTTTCTTGGCTAAAACTCAAAATATCCTTGGGCCTCTTAGCAACCTATTCTGTTCCAGAGGCGAAAAATGTTGAAAATATTTAGGAGGTTTTATCTAATCTTTAAAAGATTTTAGGTTTACTTCTTCAGTAGGGGGAATGTTAGAGTAGCCAGAAGCCCCATTAAAAATATAAATAAACCAAAGAAGGAGTACATGAAGTTAACAGAAAAAAGTAATGGGGAGATATGGGAGGAGTTGGAGGGGAGGGAGTGGGCATGGATTTGATCAAAACACCTTATATCCATGTGCAATATTCTCTATAAAATTATTTATTTAAAAAAATGAAATGGGGACTGGAGAGATGGATCAGGGGTTAACAACACTGGTGGTTCTTGCAGAAGACCCAGGTTGAAATTCCAGCACCCACATGGCAGCTAACAACTGTCCATAACTCTAGTCCCAGGGGACCCGACGGCCTCTTCTGTCCTCCATGGGCATTGGACGACATGGGTGCATTTACCTACATGCAGCCAATACAAGCACACACATAAAATAAAAATAATAAATAAAATTAAAAAAAGGAATAACAGGAGAAAGTGTCGGAAGCATAATGAATGAAATGGAAACAGACTGAAATGGAAACAGACTATCAAGACTGGAAGATAAAGTTGAAGATCTGGGCTCCTTAAGCAAAGACTATGCAAAATTAAAAAAAAGAAAAAACCAGGAATGGTGTATTTAGGAAATGTGGGACAACATGAAATGAGAAAATCTACAAATTATAGGCATATAGGAATGAGAAAAATCTCGTTGTTTGCTATAAAGTCCATGTATATTGTGTCTTCAGGAATATGATCTTACCATTACTTTCTCAATGGTAAACAAGAGCAGGTGAAATGGTCAGTTGTGCTTGAGGGTTTTTGGAGCTCCTAGTCAACAGTTCAAGAGAAGGTGTGCATTGCTGACATTGGGGATTCATTTTGTTAATCTATGGTGCCTAGTAGGGGCAATGTCCCTCTGTGATAAGTAGCTCCTTTTAATCTCTTTCTATATGTATATGAATATAAAGAAGGTTTATAGTGGTAGGTTTTCATATGAGTTTTTCTAAAGGACTTTAGTGTTACTTGCATTTCTCTGTAGCCCCTCCTTTGCTAAGCCCAACATATCCCTAACCTTTTAAAACTTCTTCATATGACACCTAATAACTTATTATTATACCCATATGTGAATGCATTTCTGAGCTCTGAGCAAAGAAGTATCCTTATGCAGCAGATGCTGATTAACAGAGAAACCCAAAATGGCCAATGTGCAGAAAGCCAGAGTCTGCACAGTCTTTAACCCTAATAGGACACTTCAAAATTCTGACTCCAGAGTGAGAGGAATCATTATGGAAGACAGAATAGAAAAATTCTTAAGCCAGAGTTGGTAGATGACCACAGGAAATAAGAGTTTTCCATAGAGCTCATCAGTTACTCATATGACATCACAGAAATGGTGACAGCATGCATAATTCTCATGGAATTATGGGGAAGTTGGTAAGAAACCCAACCTTGCCTAAGGAACCATAGAAAAATGATGGAATCTGGGACAGGGAGAGCCAGTCTCTCTCAAGGATACAATATTTGGTATCATTACTAGGTTCTAGGACATGGACCCACACTGAATGACAAGTCAGGACACCAATTAGAGTCTCTTGGCCTTTATATACACAGACACACACAGACACAGACACAGACACACAGACACAAACAGACACACACACACACACACACACACACACACACACACACACACACATGTAAATGAATCTGTCAGTTCTCACCAGAGAAGTTTCCTTATGAAACAGATGGTGATTAACACAGAAAGCCACAACTGGTCAATGGGAAGAAAACAAGAACTGCAGAGTGTGTGACCGTGGATAGGACTCCTGTATTAAACTTTGCCTACCCAGGAGTCGGGGACATTGTGGAAGACAAGGCAGAAAGATTGTAAGAGCCAGGGGTGGTGAATGCCCACAAGGAAACAGAGTTTTCCAGGTTTCTGGGAACTTGCGCCTGTGAACTTACACCATATAGTTTTTTAAAATGTTCTCTAGAAAATTTTTAACATTTTATCAAACTCTCATTGACCATACTTAAACAATCTGTATTGTAATTAAAATCACTGAATATGTATTATAAGTTCATCTATTAATTTTACTTATTTTTATTTGTCCAAGAGGAAACACCAGTGTAAGGCTTATCAGGGCATCAATCTATCAGGACATAACTCCCTTTTTAATGGCACACGATAATCATGCTTTCTGAAAGAAAGAAAGAAGGAGGAAAAAATTTAAAACAAACATGATTGAGTCAGTTAAAGACCATTATCTCTAGCTGAGATATTTTAAAAAGTTGATATTTCCAGCCCATGCTATAAAAGTTAATGCCTCCAGAAACAAGATTAATAACAGGGAAAAGAAACCTTTAACAATCAATCCAGACATAAACCAATATAGGATTCCTATCCAGTGACACACAATATATAGTCTCTTATTCTCTACAGTTTGGCCAGTTGTGGCCTTCTGTGTGTATCATACTCTGTAGATTGAAGAAGCTCACTGATGAGAGTGAGAGATGCATTAGTATGCTCTCTAAGCCCTGCTTCTGTGCTACATGAGCCTAAGGTGTAGATTTTCCACTGTAGATGTGTAATCCTGAAGAGTTGGCCATTAAGAGCACTGACTGCTCTTGACACTATCTTCTGATCTCCAGCAAGCATGAAAGGGTGCAGTTACATTCATGGAAGCAAAATGTTCATACAGGTAAAATTAAAAAAAAAAATCTTTAAACAAATTCACTAATTACATTCCATCTGAAGTTATTTAATAATCATGATGACTATAATGAGGTTTATTTGCAAATGTTCTGTTCTTTCTCTTAACAGGCACTTCTGGTATGGAACACATCGGCCTTGTTTATCATTCGAACCCTATCAACATCAGGGCTTGACCATACAAGGAAACATGCTCAGTCCTGGTTGAATGAGTGGGAGAAGTTTATTACTACTGTAATACAAGTCTGTCTCATAGAATGTCACTAATATAAGATAGAAAAATAATAAATTTTGTTTATTCAGTATTATATGGGTTATAAAAAGAAATCTGGCTAAGGGGGAAAACTATCATTTTCACAATGCAGCTCCTTTTGGCCACAGATTAATCCATGATTGCTGGAGGGTAAAATGTTTACTTCTAAAATCTTGGACGTTTCAATATCATGTCATCTATAACTTCTTTATTTGTTTCTATGCAAGGCCTTGCTATGGAGCCCAGGCTTGCCTTGAACTCACAGACCTCATGTCTCATCCTCTCCAGCTCTGGGATTGTAGCTGTGTGTCTCCATGCTTGGCAGTTTCAAAAATATTAAGCACACATTCAATAATTAAAATTATTTTTGAGTGTGGGAAACAAAACAGAACAGATTTGATTATCAGATTCTATTTGGAATGGGAATTTTGCAAATGTTTTCAGATAGATATGCATAGCTATTTGGCACCGATTGTAATTTTCCTTGTATTTGTGCAGAACATCAGACATTAGATCTAACATTAACCACACAATGCGTGTCTACCAAGGACATTCAGTTTATCTTGCTGTGGGATTTTCTGAATGTTCTTCACCTGTTAACATCATTATTGATAATCTCTTTTAGATTAAAAATGAACACCTTGTAATCTAAATATTTATTCATTAACATTTATGGCATAAAATGCGTTTTTCGGAGGAATATAAATAAATGCTAGACAGAACAGTGACAACTTCAAGCAAGATGAAGTTCCTTCTGCTGCTCTCACTCGTTGGGTTCTGCTGGGCGCAATATCACCCCCCCTGCACTCAGTGCCACCGGACTTCCATCGTCCACCTGTTTGAGTGGCGCTGGGTTGATATTGCCAAGGAATGTGAGCGATACTTAGGTCCCAATGGATTTGGAGGGGTCCAGGTAAATGTTGTTCACGATTTAAGTCGCAGAGTTTACTGAGCTTATATAAAACTGCATGCTAGTCGATATTAGTGAATCAGGAGCATAATTTTACTTCCCACTTACGTTTTCTGGAGGAAAATTTTTCTAGCAGGCACCATTATATTTTGTTTTGAGACATCAGAGGACTTCCCCATGTGCTGTCAGTGTCCCAGGTCATAGAGAAATGCCACACACACACACACACACACACACACACACACACACACACAGACCTAAGAAGTAGCACTGGATCCTTGATTAGTTTCTGCAGGATCATTTTATGTAAAGTAAGCAATATTATGATAATCATTATAATCATTTTTATTAATAGGTCTCTCCACCTAATGAAAATGCTGTGATTAACAACCCTTCAAGGCCCTGGTGGGAAAGATACCAACCGATTAGCTACAAAATCTGCACAAGGTCTGGAAATGAAAACGAATTCAGAGACATGGTGACGAGGTGCAACAATGTTGGTGTGAGTACATTCATGTTTGCTTCTAAATCACGATGTATGAAATACTTCTCTCTGTTTTCTTTAGTGTGATTAGTTTCATAAGTCAGTATTTTTACTTTTTGTTTGATTTATAACTCCAAATGCCCACTGCAGCCTATGATCACCCTTTGAAAATTTTTCCAAATGTCCTCTTAACTGTTTAAAGAGGGATATTTATGAATCAAAACTTTGGCCCTGTGCTTGATAGCTTTAGTGTCAACCTGACACGCCTGGGATGAGGGCATCTCAGTTGGGAAATTGCCTCCATAGGACTGGACTGTGGCCATGTCTGTGGGGCAATTTTTCTTTTTTTTTTTTTTTGATTAGTGATGTGGGAGGGCCCAGCCCTCTGTGGATGGTGCTGCCCTGGGCCAATGGGCCTGTGTTGAATAAGAAAGCAGGCTGATCAGAGGCCAGGGAGCAAGTCAGTAAGCAGTGTTCCTCCATGGCCTGCCCTCCAGCTCCTGTCTCCAAGTTCTTGCCCTGAGTTCCTACCTTGGGCTCCCTGATGAACTGTGACCTGGGATATGTAAGCTGAATAAACCCTTTCCTCCCCATGTTGGTATCTGTCAGAACGTTTTGTCACAGCAATGGAGAAACAAAATAGAACAGGCTCTTAGCCCTTATAACAACATATACTTCCTAGTAACACTCACTGGTGAGCAACTGTACCAGGTATATCAACAACAGTCACAATTTATGTGACTTTTCTGTACTCCCACAACTCCAGAGCTTTCTTCTACAACATTGTTCTCTATCACAGAAAGGTTATTTTTCTGTATAATGATCGCAAATATCCACCTTCTCTTAAGGTACTGAACAGAGAGTACTGTCTTACTGCTTTCTCACTGTGATCCCGTGGAATTTCATATAAATAGGTTTCAATTTTTCTACTGATGCCTACTTCTTCAGAAATTCATCTTTCCTTTAGTTTGTAGTTAAAGAAGTTTCTCTTTACTCCACTCATAATAATGTAAATTCTTGAGTAAATATTAAGACTGTTGTTGGTATTCATTTCAGAAAATTTCCTTTCACACTAGAATTTTGTTCTTGTGTATGATAAAGTACAAAACAGCCCGAAGAAACAATCAAACAATACAAAACAGAACACTCTGGGTTCTCCTTAGCATATTGTAGCGGTCATCCAATGCAGAGTTAGATTTCTAACTGAGGCGCACACTTATCTTCTCAGGTCCGCATTTATGTGGATGCCGTCATCAATCACATGTGCGGCTCAGGCAACCCCGCGGGAACAAGCAGCACTTGTGGAAGTTACTACAACCCTAACAACAGGGACTTTCCAGCAGTTCCGTACTCTGGCTGGGATTTTAACGATGGCAAATGCAATGGAGAAATTAATAACTATAACGACGCTAATGAGGTAATAAGAACGTAATGGTCAGAAAAAAACATTCAATACCGTTATGTGCGCAGGTGGCCGTTACGGAATACCTAGTATTTGGCATAGGTTCGATTTTTTATGATAAGAGCTTTCCAGGAGAGAATGCTTAAAGATTAGAAACTCGGGGATGGAGAGATGGCTCAGCAGTTAAGAACACTGGTTGGTTTTGCAGAGGAGCTGGTTTCGAATCTCAGCACCCACACGACAGCTAACAACCGTCCATGTAACTCGTTTCAGGAGATCTGATAACCTCTTCTGTCTTCGACGAGCATTCCATGACATAGTGCACTTATCTACATGTAGGCAGTACACATAAAATAAAAATAAAACATTTAAAAAACACATTTTTTTACACATGAAATAAAAATAAATAAAATATTTTCTTAAAAAAGATTGGAAACTCAAATCAATATTCCAGTACTTTCCCTTATCATGGGGCTGTAGATGGAATTCAGTGGCAAGGCACGTGCTTGACATTTACAAAGTCATTGGCTTGCTACTCTTTACTGCATAAAATGAAGAGAGAAAGAAAGAAAGAAAGAAAGAAAGAAAGAAAGAAAGAAAGAAAGAAAGGTAGGAAAGAAAGTTGAAGGAAAATGAAAAAGAGAGAGGAATGAAAGACAGGAAAGGATGACAGACAAAATTCTGTAATAAATTAAAATGTTCATCTATTTTATTTATAATTCTTTCAATTTTTATATTAGAAAATATACGAAGGGTTTTTCTGCAGTAAAATATTAATTTTCCCAAAGCCCTATATAAAGTCATCACGAACCTATGTGCTGATCAGTGGCTGAATGAGTATAGTAAATACAATCTCAGTTGACAGTAGACGTTGCATAATTCAATCACTGCATTTTTTGCCTCCACAGGTCAGAAATTGTCGTCTGTCTGGTCTTCTGGATCTTGCCCTTGAGAAAGATTATGTTCGCAACACGACTGCTAACTATATGAACCATCTCATTGACATTGGTGTGGCAGGGTTCAGACTTGATGCTGCTAAGCACATGTGGCCTGAAGACATAAAGGCAATTCTGGATAAACTGCATAATCTAAATACAACATGGTTCTGTCCAGGAAGTAGACCATTCATTTTTCAAGAGGTAAAGCAATACTAACATGTGTGTTTAGAATGATACCAGGCTTGTACCTTGTAAATAGATGACAGAATTCACTTAATGTGTGATCACTTTCCTACTTCAGCACTCTTTAACTTTTTATTTTCAGAGATGACATGCTTAATTCTTTAACACAGTGGGTTCCAAGGTAGTGAGGAGAATTATTTTAGCTTGTAAATTTCATTGATGGTGGAAAAACATAGATGTTGCTTTCTCAAGCCAGTTTGTCTAAGTTTGAATTCTGAATGTTGTTACTACTTCTGTAAGTATTTACATCAAGAGATGACATTTTCTATGCAGGAAATATTGTCTTTGAAGTGAGTGAAAGATAACAGTTATCCTTGTTTCCTTCTAGAAATGAGTTTAAAAGTGCTGAAAATGTTGATCTGAGTTCTAATTTAATGTGAGCTATTGAATCCTCACTTATGTCAATCATGTTATAGGACTAGAAGTGACCTTTGGTTTCTTTCAATATAGAAATTAAAAATTCCAATAGAATAAATGTCTTAAAACTTCATATATTATATTATTTTTACATTTTGATGATTTAAGGTTATTTTATTCAAACGGCTGTCCTGTATCTCTACCAGGTTATTGATCTGGGTGGTGAGGCAATTAAAAGCAGTGAGTACTTTGGAAATGGCCGTGTGACAGAATTCAAGTTTGGAGCAAAACTGGGCACAGTTATCCGCAAGTGGAATGGAGAGAAGATGGCTTACTTGAAGTAAATACACAACAATTTGTCATTTTTTTCTACCACGGACCTAGTGCCATTTTGCCTCAATTTGAGTTACCATTATAGGGCACTGTAATTTATTTCTCTATCAATAAATGTATTACCAATGTTTACTGTTCCCCTAACTCCAAGTTTACTTTTATATTTAAAATTTCAATCATGAGCATGCCTTCTAGGAACTGTAAACATCATCAAAAGATTTTACTTGCAGTATGAGTGTACTAAATTTTGATAATGTTTCTCTATAATATATGAAATTCAGGTTATTATTAAGAGAATACTACTTAGTGTACTTACATTTTGACCATACTATTGAATTTAAACACATCAAAAAATACTTTGAAATTTTGAAGTCAGGACACACAACAGAACAGATTTGAATCCAGTTTTTCATTCTCTTTCATGTGATATGAATGTTTACCCTCTTCAAGGACATTTAAATATGCTGAAATACTCTAGTCGAATTTTTAAAATATTAGTCTATTCTATGGTAACATGAATGAACTCCAAATAATGTTCCCACACATATTAGCATAGAAACCATTTGTTAATTACATAGGTGTATATGAACATCTACATATGATACTTTTATGAAAAAAATCATTTAATTAAAGAATTAAGCCAATGCCATATACAGTTGCAGATTTAAATTATACTAAATCATTAAAAAAAAAATAATGCATGCATTTTTTTAATAGGAACTGGGGAGAAGGTTGGGGTATGATGCCTACCGACAGAGCCCTTGTCTTTGTGGATAACCATGATAATCAGAGAGGACATGGGGCTGGAGGAGCATCCATTCTGACATTCTGGGACGCTAGGTAGGAAAAATAAAGTTTTTGCTGTTTGCAACCTGCCATTTATCACAGCAAAAATTACTCTTTTTTGTCTCCTGTAATATTATTTTGTGACCCTCAGAATGTATAAAATGGCTGTTGGATTCATGCTGGCTCACCCGTATGGTTTCACACGAGTCATGTCAAGTTACCGTTGGGATCGAAATTTTGTGAATGGAAAAGTAAGTTTTAGCAATGTTCAAAATACATTTTTTCTCAAGAAAAGAAGCAGTTTTGGGGGGATGGAGAGATGGCTCAGCGGTTAAGAACACTTGCTGGTCTTGGAGAGGATCCCCGTGGTGGTAATAACCATCCAGGGGAATCCAATGCCCTCTTCTAACCTCCACGGCCTTGCAGGACATTGTGCACTCACACACACACAGGCAATACACTTGTACAGATAAAAAAATAAATTAAAAAAGCAGTTCTGTTTTTATATCACTTGAAGCTACACATGCAATATTTATTATCAAGCATTTGTTCCCTATGTTTTTGTAATATAAGGATTGTAAAGATATACCTGAGAGTAAAAAATTATAAATAGAAACAACTTTCAGAAAGTAAACTAGTATGTTTGATAAATCCCTGTTTTGTAGAGTAGACATGGGGTTTGTATATACTAACACCTGAAAATTTAAACACATTCTGCCTATGACATGATGAATGTAAATAGTTTAATTTTTTTATGAAATGGGTATAAATAATTCATTTGATCTGAGGTTAACTAAGGAAAATAAGAAGGGAGAGTAAGTTTTGAGAGTCAAAGAACAGAAATTTGCCAACTATTTCACAAACGGTAATGATGAGAAAAGTATTTGGGAACTTGTTAGATACATAAAAAACAATCAACTTTGAAACAAGGCTATATAAAATTGAAAAATCTGGGAATTTTTCCATTTAACCTGAAGATTATAGATAAATACAGAAACTATAAAGGTAAAATAGGAATGTCTCCTTAGTATAAGTTAGAAAAATATTTTTTTTCTATATTCTTTTCTGTTTTAGAACACCTCAGCTGTTTATAAAATCATACAACATTGTGGAAAAGCTTTCATGTAGGATTATTTAAATTGTGTCAAGCTCTGATGAACTGATAAATCATAATCAATAATCACAGATTCTTTCCATTTTCCTTTGCATATATTCATTCAGATACACATGTATACACACCTTTAGCATGTGAATATATGTTAAAATATCTCAGACTTATCCATAATTCATTAGCTATTAAAATTTTGCGATGAATATCTGGCCAAGATTTACCATGTGCTTTTCAACCTAGAAATATCTTTCCATCAAAATGCTTATTTAAAGTTTGTTAAATTTGTTAATGAATATTAGAATGTAATAATTAGCATATTTACCATAAAGGTAGTTTGAGATTAAATAATATCAATTTGGGAGTTATTCCATCCATATTTTTTAATGTACGTTGTTTAATTTTTATAGCAAACACACAGCATCTCTCTGCTTTACAACAAAGAAACTCAGGCACAGAAATGTTACAAGCATTGAATAGTATTCTAAGCCAGAGTTAACCTGCAGCTCTGCTTTAATCCTCGTGTTCCTGACATGGATATTCTTGCCTTTTGAGCAACACAGAAGAGCTGATAGTGGTATTGAGATGCTATCACACAGGAAATTATGAGAGGCTGAAAAATTGCTCTAGGTGTTTGAAATAAGGTAGTAGAGAACCAGCACATACACAGATGATAAAGACTCAGCCAAGTGTATAAAGATGTGAAGGAGTTAGACTCTAAATAGAAAGCTCACATACAAATAGCCCAACTGATTGGGTATGAAAGGATGGAAAAGGAACAGGTAAATACATATGTATTAAAAACCTGAAATATTTTCAATAATGAAGGATGTTAATGATTGGATTGGACCACCAAATAACAACGGTGCCATCAAAGAAGTGACCATTAATGCAGATACCACTTGCGGAAACGGCTGGGTGTGTGAGCATCGGTGGCGGCAAATCAGGTGGGAACATGTTCTGTGAAATATTATCTCATTCCATAACATTTCATTTTAAATCATTGACACTTTGGGGTACCAGAATATGACATGTTTGTGCTTATAGGAACATGGTTGCCTTCAGAAATGTAGTTAATGGCCAGCCTTTTGCAAACTGGTGGGACAATGGTAGCAACCAAGTAGCTTTTGGAAGAGGAAACAGAGGCTTCATTGTCTTTAATAATGATGACTGGTAAGTAGATACCAATTGAAAGAGGATTTTTTTTACTGTTATATTTGTGTATCTTTCTTTACTTTCCCTGATCATTAGAAATATTCATATCTGAGAATTTTTATATTAATGAATTTAAGAATGCAAAGAGATCTGAAAATTGCAGAAAATACAAAGTTTCTATGTTTCTTGTCCCATGTTTCTATTTTCCCCATATTTCAGGTGAACTCTTGTGTATTCTTAGAATGTCGTTCCTATACATTCATACTTAATGCTCTTAAAATGCACCCCATAAAACACATAGGCATAAGTGACAAAAATCACTAAAGAATGTACAGAATGAGAATTAGTGTATCTGAATGTCAACTGTTATTTTATCCATTCTTCTGATAAACAGTCTTCCGGTCTCTATTTCTCTATGATAAATGTTTTTGAAGTATATCTATACTTCTTCATGATATTTTATTCTTCATGATTATTTTACCTTCTAGCCCCAGTTCTTTTAGACACATGCAAGCAAGTAAGTTTTGGAGAAATGATGCCATTACCTTTCCTAAAATTAATTAGCGTTTTCTTTAGGTCAGCAGAGGACAAATTTTAAATGAGTATGTTCCTCACAGCTGGTGGTTTTATCTGAAACCTGCACTGATACTCTTTGATTTTCACTGCTTGATAGCATTCCCTACAGCCTGGGAATCTGCTAGGCTGTAAAAAAAGGAATAGTTGCAGAAAATATTTTCACTCCTACTAGAGATGTCTTGGGTTTTGGATTATCTCACCGAGGCCTTTTCTGCTTACATTTCCACAGCACAAAGTTCTGGCATCTGTTTTAGACGTTGTTGTTCCTTGTGCACTTGACTGTGTTGAACTTAATTTAAATATTAACTTTTTGTGCTTTCAGGTCACTGTCAGCAAAGTTACAGACTGGTCTTCCTGCTGGCACATACTGTGATGTCATTTCTGGAGACAAAAGCAATGGCAGTTGCACAGGAATTGAAGTCCAGGTTTCTGGGGATGGCACGGCTCAGTTTTCCATAAGTAACTCAGCTGAGGACCCATTTATTGCCATCCATGCTGAATCAAAATTATAAAGCCCTGAATAAATAAGTATAGAACACATCATTCAATTTTGCTTATATATATATAAATATATGTGTATGTCTTCTTTAATTATGTTTTTACTATTACTGTGTGTGAGAGTGCAGGTGTGGGTCATTGAACCACCCTCAGGAGTTCATTCCTGTCCTCTCCTTTTCCCATTGGTTCTAGTTAAAACTCAATTCACCAGTCTTGATTGGCATTCCCTTTTACACACTTTCCTTGCCACTATCCTGATCATACCTCAGATTTTATAGTTCATTACTCTTGTATAAAAGCTACAAGCTCTCAATTTGAGAAAGTTTTAAAAATTTAAAAGTCACATATAAATACACTATTCTAAGATAACTAGCCAGGTTCTCTTGTGATTTAGAAAATTCCTTGAATCTAACTACACTTTGACACTATTTGTTCACTGTGTGTTTCAAATTTCTGTTTATATATATAATTATCTGTGAATGTTTATTCTATTAATAATAACAGGCTTAACTATAATCATCAAAAATTACAGCTTTTTACTTTTATTTTAAGAAAGTGAAGAATGCTGGTCCTTGTATAGGACTCCTGTATTAAACCTCACCAATGCAGGGCTCAGGGTGGTTTGTGGAAGAGAAGGCAGAAAGACTGTAAGAGCCAATGAGGAAGTGCATGACCATATGAAAACAGAGTCCTACAAGCCCATTGCCCCTCCATATACCTTTTCATCCCTGTTACTGTCCACTGAGTTTTCTCTGCCCCCAGCCCTTCCCTAGTGCTTGTCCATCTGCTGAATCTAGTCAGCCTATTTAGATATCCTTGTTTTAGGAAAATCAGCCATTCCTCATCTAGCAGCAATCAGTTGTCAATATTCCTTTAGATATGATTGGGGACTGAGGTTCATTTTCCCAATTCTATCCTTGGTTACTGTTTGGGAATCTTTTGGGCTACCCTGGCCGACAACTCAAAGGAACATATTTCCTATCTAGCATTCTTTCTTGTTACGTAGCCTTTAGCTATACATATGGACTCTTAAAAATTGTATTGACCCATTTAATCTTTGGTTATACTTTCCTTTTGGGTGTTTAAGACCCTACAATTGGCTCATGTAAACCAATTTACTTTTACTCTTAAGGTCATTTGAGGATTGGTTCCTCAGGGGTCACATGGGCTCGGGAGGAGCCCCTGGCTCCTTTCTCTTACCAGTCCCGCCTATATGAAGATAAGTCAAATGTCCTGCTTGACCATGGTTGGCTTCGCTTGGAAGCATGGAGGAAATGATTCCTCTATGTTGACCCTCCTCTTTGTAGACTGGACACTGGTT